ATGCAAAATTCTAATCAACCAATAGGTGGCATCCAAAAGTTAAGAGATTTCTAGCGTTCATCCAAGATTCTTGATGCCTGGATATAGTTGCCCTAACTTAATAAAAAAAAGTTAAAAAAAAGATAAAGGTGTCCCCGTGGATTTTACTGTGCTACTTGTTGCTGACTATACAGGGTGGTGTTGATCAGGACTCTGATAACTCTGATAATTGGTTAAACAGGATGGACGGGAGATGATACCCTTGTATGGGGGTGCAAAAATGGAGCTTATGTCTTCATGATGCAGAAACCACCAGACCCAGTAGGCTCAGGCCTGTTCGTTCCCCCCTCACCAAGGAGGCCAAAGATGACTACAAGCCTGAGCTGCTACCACCCTAGAGACTTTCAGTTTGTTCTCTATCCCAATGCACCCGGGAAGTCTTGACAGGGCCCAGCAGTGCATACAAAGTTGTCACAGACTTGGAAGCTTTTGGTTTCCTTGACAACCCAATGCACCTGGGAGGCCACGACCAGCCACAGCTTAGTATTCTAAGGTACAGTTTGATTTTCTATATCTTGCTACCCATTTTTATTATATCTTGCTACCAAATTATTTGTTCTTCTTATGGTCCAAGATATTCTCAACTATGTTCTCCAGCACCACAACTCAAAAGCGTCATTTTACTTCATTCAGGTTTTTCTGATGGTTCAGCTTTTACAACCATATGTTTCAACTGGAAGAACAATGACCTTGGCAATCAGTATATTTGTTATAAGTGTGATTTCTCTTTACTTTAATATTTTGTCTAGATTTATCATAGTCTTTTTACTGGAATTTCTTTTCATTCATAGCTATGATGATCATTCCCATGACTTTCTGAAAATAAGTTACCACTTCAGTTTCATCTCCATTTACTTTACATTTGACTGGCTTTTCTTATTGACATAATCTTGGTTTGTTCTTTTTTACTTCGTGAATGGCAAGCCAGGTTGTGCAGTATCTTTGAACAAGATATTCCCTATCTCCTCCTTACTTATCTCCCTTTGTTTCCAGGAATTAAAGTGGTATCATTAGCATATCTGAACTTTCTGATGACCCTTCCAGCAAATATGATTCCAATTTCTGCTTCTTTTAGGACAGTATTTCTTGTGATAAATTCTGGATATAATAAAGAGATGGTGTATAGTTTTGGTATGTTTCTTTCTTGATTCTGATCTATTTATGTCCTCCATTATAAATGTTGCTTTCTGGTGATCATATAAATTATTCAAGAGGCAGATGAAGTAGTTTATATCCATGTTTTTAAGGGTTGTCCATAATTGGTGTGTGAGAGAGCTACACAGTCACAAAAGCCTTTGAATAATTAGCAATGCTAGCATAGTATGCCTGTTTAGAATTCCTCTCCCTCTTCCATTATCCATCAGAAATTACCAATGTCATCTTGGGTGACCCTGGCTCTTCTGAATGCGGCTTGTACTTCTGCCAGTTTTTATTCCATGCACTGTTGAATTCTGGTTTGCAGCATCTTGAGGATTATCTTACTGGCATGTGAATTAAACACAACTACTCACTAGTCTGAACATTTCTTAGTGCTGCCCTTTTGGGTATTGATCTTTTCTTTTAGGCCACTGCTATGTTTTCAGCAGCTACTTCCAAACCACATGAAGCACTTTAATGGCATCATCATCATCTAAGATTTTAAATAGTTCTGCTGGTATTTCATCAATTCCTGCAGCTTTGATGAAGCAATGTTTTCCAGGGCCCATTAACCTCACTTCCCAGTCTCTTTGGCTGTAGTCCAGTGATCAAAACTTCATGCATATCATTAATTCTGGAATGGGATCATTTCTGTACAGTTCTCAGGTCTATTCATGCCCTATTTTCCATATATTGGGTTCTCCAGTAGACCTTTACTTTTTTGCCTTTTATTATGCCCATCTTTGCATAATATTTTCCATTATTCCTGGAATTTCCTTACTTTTCAATTTTTTCTTTTTTCTTCTGATGTAGTTGTAATCCTTAGTTTCATTGCATTGCTTATATAACTTTTGCTGTCCTCTACAATTTCAGTGCTTAATTGGGCAATTTTTGCCCTGTCCTACCTGAAGTTGATTTATTTCCTGCAGCAACAAAAGTCTCATGATTTCCACATAACACAAAAGAGAAGGAAGGAATGTTCAAGTCATCTGTTACTATGCATCTGGGAGTTATGTACAGGTATGTACTGCACACCTAGGTGCAATACACTTAGGTGTGTAGTGAAAAGATGTATGCAATTAATATCCTTAGTTTGGGAGTGTTTTTATTGGGAGGGGGCTCTATTCATTTTACCTTTGCTCCCATCAAAATCAGAATGGAATTGAAACCTTGCTGTGTGGCACTTTGATTTCTGGAGAAAAAGTGGTAAATGCTGTACTGAACAAGTAAACAAACATCAAATATTTTCTATCTTACAACCCACCTGTTTTTACCCATAAGGAATATAAAATATATTGTTTAGATGTTTGATGTAGCCAGACATATACAAAACCCATCCCTTTAAATCTTGAAAGATGCAACAATAATACACATGTAAAGACAAGAGTAGAGAAACGGGGAAAAAAAAATCTAACAACCCCCTCCCCCCCTTTTGCATTTTACTGTGAAATACATTGAACTAACTCATTCTCCCACAAGAATTCTGAAAGTCAGAATCTACTGCTACTTGGCATAACCAATTATTCTTACTGGAAAAAAGAAAACAGATGTGCAAAATGAGAACAATAGAATTGCAGCACTGCATGTAGCAAGCTATGATGTATAGATACAAATTTAGAATTATTAGCATAATTTTAATAAATACAGAGCAAATTCCATCCTTGTGAGAAACTTCAATCTGGTTCATTCTTTTGTCCACGGGCTTATATGTGGATGGCAGCATTAAGACTTTGTTCATTAAGTTGTGAGACCCTGATCATTAATTTGGGCTCTAAGGATCAGTTGGGGCTGTTGCTACTGTACCAGCCCACCTGCTACATAGTGCTCTCCCCATTTCTGTTTAACATCTACATGAACCCACAGGGTGAGATTATTCATCATCATGGGGTAAGGCATCATCAATATGCTGAAAATATCCAGCTATATACCTTTGTCCCTTTTAAGCTAAATGATGGTGTTGATGTTCCTTTGGGGGGCCTGGAGACCCTGGGGGCCTGGATGGGAACAAAAGGCTTCAGCAGACCTTGCTGAATCATTGCCATCATTACATCTTACATTACATAAGCTGGTTAGCTGTTAAATATTACCTTGACAGTTTCCCTTTTTCCATAATGAAAATTAAATCCAGATATGCATATCTAAAGCTATGCATCATTATTGCTTACATATTAATATGCTAGCTTATTTGTTTATAAATTACACCCATAAACTCAGCAGCAAAAAAATAGCTGAACTATTTTATCATAATTAAAGTTCTGTATTTTCAGAGTGATCTAAACTAACAATCGTGGAAAGATAAGTATGAAGGCTAACAACAATTAAAGAACTGGCAGCTATGATTTCACATTATTGTATGTATAATAATAATAGTAATAATAATAGTAATAATAATAATAATAATAATAATAATATCATCATCATCTCAGTCCTTGGGAAGTACGTGATAGATAGACAAAAATGCCAAATGCAGTCTGAATAATTTCATATAAACTGACCAATTCTTTACAGAGGGATGCATAACAATTTGTCTCCTCAACTTACATTGACTGGAAAAACCTCTGGAGATGTGGGACTACACAGGTGTATTAAATATTTATAAGTTTCTTTATCACATTTTATTGTTGCCACAATCACACAGGCCCTCAGTGATTTACAGAGGTTAAAAGCAACACAAACCAGACCACCATCAAGCTTAAAATGCCATGGTGAAACTAAACCTGAATAAATAAAACCATAGAATTATAAAGTCAAACCACTTTCAGCATCCTATTATTATCCATAGGTCCTTCAGGATAACTCAGTTTCAAAAACTTTATGCTAATTAAAACTATAATGGAAGATTGTTCCATAGTGTAGAGCTGCCATTAAAATCATCACCTACAATTCTTTGCTCCACAAGTTTCCCAGAAATGGAGGGTCATCACCAGTTTGTTCAAGAGTATCTGATGGATTCTGGTTGAGAAAAGCAATTCTGCAAGTACCTTGGTCCCAAGCCATATACATAGGACTTTTTAGGTATGGACAGCATTTTGAATTGTATCCAGAAACTAACAGGAAGCCAGGGCAGGGCCTACAATACAGGTGAAATATTCTTGTGGCAATTAACATCAACCAATAATTAGGCCTGTACATCCCAGAATAATTGGACCTTGCAAGATCCAATCTGGGTTGGTCACCAAGAGCAGAGGTTTAATCTTCTGAGCTTTCAGATTCATGGGGGAGCCCATCCCTAAGGAACTTCTCTCTACCAGAATGTGTGCTTTGGGCTCTTCTATGTGTGGTATTTATGTGGTGCCTGGTTTTGTGTGGCTTTTTATTTGTTGATTGGGGTGTTGATGGCTGGCTATTAAGTTGTTGGCTGTTGTTTCCTTGTGCTGCCAAGGAATAACAACATATTTTATTATTATGGCCACAATTGTTTATAAATACTTATATTTTACAAATATTAATTTCTTTGAAGAACGGTTCATGCATGTAAGAGCCCTGACTAATTCTCATTAGTTTTTACTATGAAAATTTGCCAGCAAAATGCCTTATTATATTGTAATAAGAAAATATTGAAATAATTGTATGCCAGAGATATAAGGATGTAATCATTTTATAATAGTGAATGCTATAAAAACAAATAAGTACAAAGCTAAAAGTTCAACTTTAGGGACAATGTAACTCTGGAGTGAAAATCATTTTTTATATATATAAAAAATCCACCAAATTCAGAACATTTTTAAAAATCAGCATTTGCATAGTTGCCCAGTAAACTTAAAAATCTGAAAAATATACTCAGATAATAATCACTGAAGGGAGTAACAGAATATATTTCTTACCTGCTTTTTTAACTACAGAGAGTACTGTCCTCTCAGGACTTTTCCTTTTTTCTTCTTTTTTCCCTAAAAATTAATTTTGAAAAAAGATGTTTCTTATGCTGGAAAAGTAAATCATGTACTTCAGCCAAGCATGTGAAAATTATATGTTCTTATTTTAAATGATTGAATATTGAATTCAGTACAAACTTGAACATATTTGGAGTTGAAGATGGTAGCCTGGCCTGGTAACAAAATGTTCGGAAACCAACCCACAAGCCAGAGAACGAAACTTCACCCCCATACTACACCTGAGCTATCGATATTTGCCACTATTCCATATATCTTTCTACGTCTATATTATTATTATTTACTTTGGTCTCTCTGTATGTGTAATAGTATACCAAATACATAGATTTATGCAGCACTGCATTCATAGGTTATGCATTTATTATCTTAATGGCATCAATATCATGTACCAAGGATAAATTTATATCTGTGCTATTTCCTTATATTTTATTTATTCTTATATTAGGACAGTGAGATGGCTTTAATTCTAATTTTGATAGTAAATTTTGTTGGTCAATGACAAAAGTAAAAAATGTTATGTACCTGGGAGATGCTCACTGATGTCAGTGAGATTCAGTAATCTGTACAGATTATAGCACTTCTAATGGGGAATGCAATGTGTAATGAGATATCCATGCATACAAGAATCCCTTATATTTAAACTATCATGATAAAAAATGATAAATGATTAAAAAAAATCACCTTCCAAAAGCATACCTTTTGCCTGAGTATCAGAAACATCTTTCTTCTCATGAATTCTCTTTTTTTCTTCTCCCACTTCTAAAATATGAAAAACATGGCTTTGGATCATACGGACAGAAGTAGCTGAATACCACTGAATAAACTGAAAAAGAGGCTCAACTCATTCTGTTCATTCAACAAAAAACAGTCCTAATTTAGAGTTCTGTCTCAGCAGGCATTTAGTTTACACTTCATGAAGAATGCATGTATTCTTTCATTTAAATTGTTACCCCCTACAGAATAGTTTAGGAAATGTTCCACAAAATATAAAGCAAAATAATTAAGATTCAAATGCACTTGTATTTCCCTATGTATATAAAAACTCCCTTTTTATGACCCCATATCCCTTAATTCAGGGTAAAGTTGGAGCGACTGGATAGAACTGAGTGTTTACTGGCCAGATGCTCTTCCTGATACCTACATGGAGTTCACAGCAGATATTTTTTGTTTGCACCCTAAGAGACAAATATCTGCTGCTGCCTAGGACTGAACTATCAACTCATGGTCAAGGTAAATTCACACCAGTGAAAAGTTAATAGACTTCAGGGGAGGGCTGGACTTAGGTCTTTCAGGGGCATAGGATCACAGAGTGATGGTGCGTTTGATCCCACCCTCGGGCTCAGCTTGATCCTCTCCTTCCATATGATATAGAGATGTCCATAGAATTCGGTCAAAAAAGGTCAAAATGGCAGTTCTAATTGTGCAATTGAAGCTTCACTCTTCCTTTTACGAGCATCACATATATCCACATACATTCTAATCTCCATCTGATTAAAGTGATGATTCTATGACTACTTGATTATTTGATTCAAATTTGTGATACTCCAGAAATAACCTCTACCTATATAATATATTTAATTCAGCAGCAATCTAGTAATGCAATAGTTATGCAAATAACTTACCTTTTTTTTTAATTTCAGGAATACCTTTCTTCTCAGCAGTTACTTTTTTCCTCTCTTCTTCTAAGATATAAATCAAAAGGTAATTAATTGGTTTCATTTTGTTTAAATACAATAGGCAGAGCAGAGCCCTTTAAAGATGAAGCAAATTAATGGCTTTATTTTAAAATAATAAATACCCTACCTTTTCTTATAACTTGTGGAGTAGCTTTCTTTTCTCGAACCACCTTTTTTCCTTTTTCCACTTCTACAGAATAAATTTAAAAGGAAATTATTTCAGAGTGCATTTTTATTCAAGAATTAGTAGTCAAAATGACAGAACCCTTTCTACTTCTGCACTTGGAGAAATAAAATACCTCTGAATCTAAAAATAAAATAAACAGCACAAAATGTTGCCTAGCCAACAGCTTATTCATTTTAATGGAGGAAAAGGATTTCATACAGAAGTGGGGAATGCTAGGAAAAACAACTTCAGAAGGGTATTTTTTTTTAAGTAGACTAATGCCATACTATGCAATGCAGTTGATAGGTATTTGAATGGAGGGATAATTGAATTTCTGGATGTCCCAGGATAATTTTGATACACTTGGGCTTAGTGTTTACCTTATTAGGGACAGAAAACTTTGATCATCTGTGATCATAATTGGGCACAAATACTATGTTTATTTTGTTCTTTAAGGTTGAAAGCAAAATTTCAGCACCCTTGGATTTCATTGTGATCAGCCATTATATATGATGATCAGAGAGCATTGGCTGGATAGAATTTAGATGCATTTTTTTAATGGTCAGTCTTGATGTTGGAAAAGTGGTCTCGGAAGGTGATCCCTCAATCTCTCTAGTGCTCACTCTATTTAATGTCTATAATCAACTACACTAGGAAACTATCTAGGTTTTAAAGCTTTGATACTTCTACATTTTGGTGATAATCCTGTCTATGTCTCTCTTTTTCATCCAAATAGATCCAACCTTCTGATATAGATATCTGATATTATAATGAAGTTGGTGAGGGCAAATGCCTTTAAACTTCATCCACGTAAGGAATAGATGATCCTGGCAATCTACAGTTCTATGCTGGATAGGGATGCAACCTCTCAAAACCTCAGATTCAAATTTTAGATGTGGTCTTTGATTCTTTTCTGAAAGTAAATGTGGTTAAAGATGCTGAGCTTGTCAGCTAGAAAGCTGACAGCCCAGGTTTGTGAACTGAGCACCGCGCAATTGGGTGAGCTTCTGTTCTTGCCTCAGCTCCTGCCCACCTAGTAGTTTGAAAACATCCAATGTGAGTATATTAATAGGTACCACTTTTGTAGGAAGGTAGCAACATTATGCTGGCCACATGCCATGCTGGCCACATGCCATAGAAAATGTCTTCAGATGGACTTCCAGTCTTGTGCACTAGCACAACAGCCAAGGGATTTCGGGGCTCCGTGCCCTTTGGCTGAAATTTTTCCTGTTAGGGGACCCTGAATGGGCCAGAAACCACCCTGAAGAGGTGGCAAAGAAGGAAGGAAGTCCCGTGGACCACAGAGAGATGGCGATCATCCCAATCAGTCCAGGAGAAGCCTTCCAGAAACCAACAGGAGAAAGGCTAGCCTAACTTCAGAGTCTAGCCCAAGCTACAAGCAACCAAAGTCAAAAAGCACTATTTTAAGCTGATTGTAAACAGCATGTTTGAATCGGGGTAAGATCATCAATTTTCTCTACCCTATTTATTAACTTTCCTGGAAAAATTTTTTTCCAAGAAGCAAAAAACCTCCAAACGTGAAGGAGGGGGAGTTTTGCCCCACCCTTTTACTAATGGAAGTGGCAAATTAAACCTTTTATGGAGGACCAAAACATACAGAAATGAAATGAAATGGATATAAAACCTAAATTTGGATAAGTTTAGAATTGTTGAATGGTTAAGATTCTCATTTTAAAGGCAATTTTCTATTTTGATCATTTGAAAAATAAACTGGTGCTGACATCTAGTGGGGGATAAAGACTATGAGAGCTATGGCTTTTATACAGGACTTGGCAAAATCTGGAAAAAACTAATCTGTTTTTGTCACAGCAGTGACAAAAAAAAGAAAACAATTTGGGTTGCAGACAAAGAGGATTATAAACTTCAGGAAACCTTTTTGAACCTTTTGGGATTATAAATATCTACTAAACTGTGACTCTAAAGCTATTTGCAGAGAAAAGAAAACCTCGATTCTTGACCATTATGGAAAATAAAAAAATTGCAGAAAGAACTTATCAAGAAAAAATAAATACCTTTCAAGAGGAGACATATGAGATGCTGCAACTAATTCAAACAACAATGACTTCAAACCACAAAGAAATCCAAAATAACTTTGAAAACATAAACCAATTCATCTCCAATTTAACTTTACAACAAAAAAATCCCAGGAAATAACAACAGAGAAGGAGCAGATAAAACAGATAACTGAACACAAATTCGAAGATAGAGACTCAAAGATGGAACTTAACACAACAAAGAAGTATGATTTAACCCAAGTGGAAAAAAATTACAAGAAATATTGGTTTTGGAAAAGGCAACTCATACTTTAAGACCACAAGACAAATTTGAGGTTAAGAAAAAAGAGTGGTCAAAATGGATTGCGGAGATGTCGGGAACACCACTAGAAATGGAAAGACAAAAAATGATAAGTGATACAGAGAGAAAAAGAAAGAAAAAGATTTTCAACAAACATGAAAGAGCAAATACCTCTTACAAAGATATTGTACTTGACTTATTTTTTTATATCTACAGTGACACCTACAAGAATATGGAAAGACTCTTTGATTCAGCAGAATATATTGATTAAAGATATTGAACAAAAGAAGGTGGCCAAAGTGAAAATTAAGAAAATAGATGATGGGACTTATCAGAAATAATATTTAAAAAAGAAACACCTGTTTGAATATGGTTAAAGTAATAGAAAGATTTTGGATATGAATTTTACTTTAAGAGAGAGGAGTCCCTCAAATAACATAGTACTCTCTCTTTCTTCTCTTTTCTTATCTTATTTCTTGATATGAGTAATATAAAAGAGTTAGAATGGCTTATATATAAGGACATATTTTAGATATTTAAATGTGATTGATTTTAAGAAAATTACAATGATTAAAAATGTTTTGAATAAGAGTTAAAAGACCAGATGTCTAGATTATTAAATGGAATGTTTAAATATTAAATATATTCTTAATTATGGTAAAAAAGAATAGAAAATCTTTGGAAATAAATATGTATTAGCTTAGGGAAAACATGGACTTTCAGTAGTATAATATCCCTCTTTACTCTTGTTCTTTTTTCCTCTTTTTTTAGTCTTATTTATTCCTTAATTAAGATAAAATTTATGGGATGGTTTACATGAGAAAAAATAGAATCAAATATCTAAATGTAATTAACTTTGAGAAAATCTTAACCAGTAAGAATGTCTTGAATATTGTGGGAAAAACAAATGTAAACAAGAACCGTAAACGGAATCTATGATGAGGCAACAAGAATGACTAGATAGAAAAGAAATATTATATTGATGTGATTATTATTTGTGGAAATATTAGAAAAAAATTATATTCAATTGTTATCTGCCAAAACAATAAGAATTGTGTTAACTTAAGGTTGGTAAAAGAGAACACTATGGGAAGAAGAGGAAATCAAGTAAAGCTATTATGTGGATTATAGATCATAAAAACCAATTGTTAGTGAATGTTTTTTAAATATAAACCTGGACAACACACTGTTTACCAAATATTAAGGTGACCATGTTGAAAAATTAATAAAATATATTATAAAAAAGAAAGAAAAAAAAGAAAGAAAATGTGTTCAGACAACGCTGGCTCCCTCGGACAAGAAATGGAGATGAGGACCACACCCTAGAGTCAGATATGATCGGACAGAGGAACCTTGACATATGTACATATATTTGATGCATTTGTCCAGCCTCAGATTGGGATGCATTCCTCCATATAATAGCAGCCCATGAAATTTTAAAATAGATCATTAGATGAAGAGTAATGCTATACATTTAACAAAGGGGAGTCCATCAGGTTTCCAGTTGTTGCTTTAGCCCACACCTTCAATAGACCAGACAAGGTGATTAAGGCTATCCTATCTGGATTGCTATATTCGACAGTAATTAGATGGGAGCCCAGTCAGCTTTTTTCTGATTCTTTGCTGCCACACCCAGTTGTCAACCGAACAGCTGCTTGATAGCCCTAAAGGAAGGCAGAGTGAGTGACGGAAGAGGCACTAACACTGCTGTGGCTGCTGCAGAAGGTACAAAAAACAGAGCCATTGGAGTCTCTGGAAGCTTCCATGTTGATTGCTCCTGGATGCCCTCTTCCTTTTCTTGTGTTCCTGAAGGAAAAAAGGGAAAGGGGAGTGGTGGCAGCTGAAAGAGACTGAAAACTCTTTGCTGCCCTTTGGTGTTCATCCAAAGCTTTCTACCCTAGTTAAATAGATCTAAGGGTGATGCAGGGGGGCTTCTGAGGGAAGGGTCTTGTATATGCATGACTGTATTCTGAAGAGGAGGGAGACAGATCTTTTCTGGATCTAGGAGTGAGAATACTTTGATATGATGCAACGATCATTCAGCTTAGGTCTGCTGCCACTAAGGCCTTCTTCATTGAGGAGCTCCATCTGAAAGGCCTCCCTCAGGTCCAAAGGAGCTCTGTTTAAACCCCTGAAAGAGCAGACCATTAGCCTTACTTCAGTTTCATCAGTTTGTGTCTCAGATGCATTCCTTCAGGCTGCAGACACAGATTGGATAATAGATCTAGATATTGATGATATAAATGAGGCAGAGGTGGAGACGGAGATGGCTAATTATAGAGATAGTGAAGGAGATGGAGATAATAGAGATGTAGAAAGAGATGGATAAAGCCCAGAGACAGTAAACTGAGACAGAGTTATGCAGATGGAGGCAAAAGTAAGTAGACACAGAAACAGAGGTTGAAATAATTTCAAAATGTATTGGGGATAGATTAGCCCCAAATCATTCAAATGAATTGTCTTTAGAGGATTTATTTTAAAAACAAAAGAGTGTTCAATCATGTGTGCTCCCATTTGCAAACTGAAATGCTACAGTTGGCAGTTAACACAACATGGGGTTATACCAAGTGTCTGGAAGGAAGAGAAAGATGTAAGAGAGGAAGCTGTTTTGCTAATGTACCCATATTCAGTTAATTCGCTAAAATATATCTTATGGACTTAAGATCATGCATGATCAGGAGCAGCTTCTCCCACATATGACTAAGAAACATAAGGCATGAAAGAAAGAAAATAAAAATAATCCAGAAATATTTAAACATGTAGTTTTACCTTAACTCTGCACTCAATTTCAGTATCACTAATATTAATATATTTTATTTATTGCCAATATACAGAGAAATGCCTCACACATTTTATCAACTTAGAAGAGCAGAAGAGAGTAGCACTAACTAGCTTCTGTCCTGCCCCTTGCATCCATTCATACAGCCTGATTATCTTCAGAGAAGGACCTTTGAAACCAACATTTGAAATCTCCTTGTGATCTGGAATCCTGTCCATTTCCTCTAAAGGACATAGGATTAAGTTAGCTTAATCATGGTTTTTTGGCACATCCTAACTCTTCCCACACATGCTGATTTAAATACACAAGATGTTCTTCTGGATATTAGAAGAACACATGACCATTTCAGATGGATAAGTATGGTTATCTATCCAAAGCAAACAAGAGAATGCAATATACACTACTTACTTTTTGTAGCAGTCACGTTAAGCTTTCCCACTGTATGAGCAAAAGAATATTTTTTAAAAAGTTAAACCAAGGAATGCAAATAATAAATTACCAGAGATGAGAAAGGACAGCAAGTTTGCAAAAGCTCCAACAAAAATGAGATTAAGAGTGTTACAAAGCAGATATTTTCTTAAAGGCTATAAACCTATAGTCTTTCTGCATATTGGTTTCATAAATATAAGGACCATCCATAGGCTATGGGAGAGAAGATATTTACAAAGAAGTATGAAAACAAATTGATTCTGCCTGTATGCCAATATTGTGATATCCACAGTGCAATGAAATATCTGTTAAATTGTTCAGCCATGAGTTTCTTTTGTATTAAAAATATTATACCATTTTTCTTTACACTTCACATCCATGAAGGAACTCAGATTTATCATTTCAATCCAGCACAAATATATCAATAGGTCAGATACATTCTTAGTACACAAAGGGTCTACCCAAGTGTAAAAATTTCCAAGAAGCAGAAATGATGTTGCATTTGGTTTCACACACATTTACTAGAAAGGTCTAGATAGTAATACCTAATCTGAAAATGCCAGAAAAACAGAATTAGGTCTTTACTTTAATCTCTGACAGGTGTGCAATATTATTAGACACTAGCAGCCTTCCTTCTTCCATGCTCTATAGGCCCCCTTGGAATTCAACTCCCTGAATTTCCTGAGCAAAGGTGAGCCAAAAGTGTACTCTTCTTTCGGGATGCATGCTAAAAGACCCCAAGGTGCAAGTATGTGCACTAAGTTCATGCAACATACACATATATATCTGGAAACCAGGACATCTGTCAGAAGAAAAAATGATCACAGAAAAAAAATGTGACAATGTTTATGCATAGTTAAAAAAAATCTTTGATGTTTAATGGGAGGCACTTGTTTCTTCCTAAACTAAACTAAACTAAACAGGTAAGAATCCTTTTTGATTATCAGGTAAATATTCCTATTAGCATCATTCTGGTCCTAAATTCATTCTACAAATTCATTTTAAGTCCCATATGAGCAAATTGAGAAATTATATGAAAGGACCCGAATAATGAAAGTTGAAAAGCAACTGGCAAACATAAATTATGGCACTAAGGGAGAAGGATATACACTATTCAATGGGAACATGGAATAGAAAATATGTGGTGCTATTAGTGCATGCTCTTTCAAAAGTAAATAAATTGATTTGGACAATAATTTGTATGTCATTCTACTCACTCGGTTCTAATATGTATTATTAGCTTTGAGTTTGCATTTCACAAGTTACAACAAAGTTGCAAATTAGGCTGAAAAGGAAAGGTAGCTTGCAAGTAGCCAGGAATGGATTTATACTTTAAATAAATTAAGTAATTATGCTTCTTAAAAGGTCATTCTGGAGCTGAACATGGGGGGTCAGAGATTTCCCCATTAAGATTTCGTAATTCTAAATATGCAAAAGCCAACTTTGCCTGTGATCCCAAATTGTCAATCCCAAATACGTAGATCTGCCCAACAAAAAGCTTTCCTATCCATACCCTGATAAATGCAAAATATATTCAATATTTCACAATAGAAATGAATAAACTGAGCCTGCACATTCACATTGCCATGACTATGACCTCATCCAGACTTTAACAAGAGTTGCTGTTTCCAGTTCAGAAGACACAATCTTATCTGAAATGAAGAACTATTTCCAAGATTTTCCTTGAATATTACTTTCTTCAAAATATGTTTTACTTTCCATAACCCCATATTAATGGAACAAGGTCCTAGAAAATCCCTAAATCAAAAAGATCTCTTTCTAAAGTAAAAAAAAAAAAAATAACTTTGGAAAGTCAGTGAGGTTTATTTCTGAAGGAGAGAAAGATTGGAAGGTGTGATGAGAAAAATAAGAAGGGTTTAATGCAAGCCTTAAAAGGTCAGGCACATTGCTCTAAAATGGTCTTCAATGACCTACAACATCTTATGTCTTCCACCTGTGATGTCAAGTGTTTTTAAGAGATGGAAGAAGGCAAGGAGTAGCAGCACTGGATTTATGCCAAGTGTTCTTCAAAGTAGATTAGAGTGCAGCAACTGCCTGTTGATCTGCCTGTGATGAGAAGCTCTAAATATAGCAAAGCACTTGAGTTAGATGGCATAGTGCTGTACAACTGAGACTCTCTGAAGATACACATTACCAAGCTCTGTATTTTCACACCTTAAATTCCGAGATGATACAGGGAGTAAGTAAGTGACATGAGTGCTGATTCAGGAACAGCTTGCTGCCCATCCATCATCAGCAAAAGGGGGAGGGAAGAAAAGGGGATCAAAAGACTGGTGGTAAAGAAAAGCATATAGAAACAAAAAGCATGAGGCTTCCTTCAACTGAAGCCTAGGTACATTTGATGCTTCTGATCAAAATTTTAAGAATGGTTATGGAAACACAGTTTTGTGAAAAGACATGTGACAATAGCTTGATTTTCCCTAAAATATTGCCTTCAGATTTAAAAGTATAATAATATATGGAAGTTTGCCCTTCCAAAGTTAATTGGCAATATAAAACAGATTAAGCTTGAGTTAGATCTTTATTTCATATCCATACCAGTCCCTAATACTGCATTACTGAGATATAGTTCAGCATGAAATAATTTTCAAATTAATACTAGATTCCATTTTGGCTAGATCAATTCTATTTATACTATTTAAGGGTATATTCTTTTTTCAGCCTTCCTCACCTTGTGGTGTCTAAGAATATTGCAACTGATGCTTCCAGAATTCCTAAGCAGCATGGCTATTTTATTTCATTTCATTTTACGAAACAGTTAATATATTAGCTATTCTCAGTTTCCAAGTATTCAAAGTATTAATATTCATTGAAAACAGCTGAGAATAGAAATAATATTCCTGGTATATTAGAACTTCTCTAAAGCCTGCTGTGCCTCTGAGCTCATCTCATCTGACAAGGTCTCTTCAAACACTCTTTTTTTAATGAGTGTTTTGTTTAGGTTCTATTCTTCTCTTCAGCACTGCATAGCTGTACCATCCTGATGTAATCAGGCAATTTACAAAGGTCAAGGAAATGTAAATAAAATCAATCTGAGATTTTGAGAGTAGCTGTTTTTTTTTATTATTACTCTGGAACCCATCTGTTTGGCTTGTCTGAAGAATGCTAAGCCAAAAACAGGTACTGTAATCACTACAGTATAAATTAATCTAATGTTTTTAAACACCTTGTCTGTTATTTGGATCAGATATAGCCAAACCCTTTGGGACTAAAAAAGCTAAGGAATAATGATGCAGGCAGGTCATCCTGGGAGACAGCATAGCTTCATTAAGTATCTGAAATCTTCTGCTCTGCTGTTTATTGCCTTTCCAGACTATAATTTATTTGCTGTTGGGATGGAATAATAGATAGCTAAGGCACATTTAATATTCTTGCACTCAAATAATGTAAATAAATTGTGGATCTTCTGTGAGCATTGAACTTTGCTCTCTAAAAGAGGAGCTTAAAATCTTTCACAGGTCAGAATAATTAAAGTCATTTAAAATATGGTAACACATTTAAGGAAGGTAGTAGGAAGTAGAAACAGACTGCCTTCAGATTTAAAAGTATAATATGGGAGTTTGGTCCTCCAAAGTTAATTGACAGTGAATTCCAAATGCAAAATGAAATAAAAATGCCAAGGATGCAGTGGAAATGCTTAACAGCAGATACAGTCCCACTGCCTATGCTTTTATTTGTATAACAGGCATTTTATTTTAATTGTGAACCTATTGGTGAACAAATCAGCAACATGGTTTATGGGTAAGCTTCATTGGATCAAATGAAATCATGCAAAAAAGTTCCCAAAAGATTTATATTTTATGTCTCTACTACCCATGTCCCTCAAGGGAGATTTGTTTTATATGTCTTTTCTTTTTATACTTATGGATATTGTCCTACAGATTTCAACAGTAAATTCCAGAGACTTCTACATGTCATCTACCATACTCCCACAACTGAACTGAAATCTGATTCATTTTCACCTTGATAAAGTTTCCAGTCCAGGTTTTCTGAGTAATGAAGGTATACTATACTAAAAAGTGTAAATAAATACCTATCTCTGGGTCCAAGTCATACTATAATGATTATAGCATTAGCATGCTTCTGTATTCCATCCTAAGTGGCTAAGTATTCCACCCTAAGTATTCCATCCATCCTAAATGGCTAAGCATCTAGATTTTCATTTATTTTCCATATTTTTAATAATAAAATAGCATTATAATAGGAAGAAAAACTATAAATAAAATGCTCCTTGAGAGAAATAGAAATGGACAGTAAATGGACAATTTACTCATCAGTTCTCCCCAAGCTACTCTGAAAAGAAATCAGAGACAGCCTAAATTAATTAAAGGTAGAATCATTCTTATGGCTGTGAAAGTTGGACCATAAGAAAGGCTGAGTGCAAAAGAATTGAGGCCTTTGAACTATGGTGCTGGAAAAGACTCCTGCGAGTCCCCTGGACTGCAAGGCGATCAAACCGGTCAGTCCTAGAGGAGATCAATCCTGACTGCTCTTTAGAAGGCCAGATCCTGAAGCTGAAACTCAAGTACTTTGGCCACCTAAGGAGAAGGAAGGACTCACTGGAGAAAAGCCTAATGCTGGGAAAAATTGAGAGCAATAGAAGAAAGGGTCGACAAAGAATGAGGTGGCTGGATGCAGTCACTGAAGCAGTAGGCATAAGCTTAAATGGACTCCAGAAGATGGTAGAGGATAGGAAGGTCTGGAGGAACATTGTCTATGGGATCACGATGGGTCAGACACGACTTTGTAACTAACAACAACAAGAATCATTCTTATAAGCCATAACAGACATGCCATCATATTTTATGAAAGATTGGAAGAAAATTGCCACAAGCTGGAGAAAAAAACATGGAAGCAGCAAAGAAAATACTGGAATGGACTGATTTGGACAAAACTCAGCAGCACTTTTTTGTGCGGCTGCTGATAAAAACAAGATTGCCAACATGATTGCCAACATCCGATAACGGATGTGGCACAAGAAGAAGAAGAATCATATGGAAATTCAGTATGAAAAAAGAAATAAAAAATAGCAATTTCAGAGAAATGGAACCAAGAGTGGTGTTTCTCATCTAATGGACATGATTAGTTTGGTAGGCACTAGAAATGCACAGATAATCGTGCAAAAGATTAATCAGTACTTAGTTTGGGGAAGATATTTTCTTAATGAATTATTTTTTTCCTGATAATATATATTCTAAATCATGAGTCCCCAACCCCTGGTCTGTGGACCAGTCCACACAAACAAGCAAAGCCCCATCCAGGGGATGCAGGCAGCACACAAAACCATGCTCCCTCTGGTCCACGGAAAAACCTCTCTCCACGTAACTGGTCCCTGGCACCCGAAAGGTTGGGACCTCTGTCCTAAATTACAGAACTCTGAAATTAGTTTTATGGCACTATGGTATTTGTTTGCTTTTGCTGTTTACATTAACTATGTTGGTTTCAATACTGTGTCATACTGAGCAGTCTTCTTGGAATGTCTGTACTGTACTCGGTTTTATTGATATCATTGTCAGTATCAGACATCAAATAGGGTAAGATATTTATTTCCCTGTTCTGGATTCATGCTTGGTATAGAAATGCTTCAAAATCTGAAAGCTTTGTATTGATTTTTGTTTGTTTCTCTCTGTATTAGAAATGACACTGACACATGGATCCCTGTTCTAAATTGTCAGCTGCCTGCAGGCCACTTCTAATAGCGTCACAGAAATGAGTCGTGTAAATCTCTAGTATAAGGAGTATAAGGAGAAAACATAGCACTGTGATAGCATTAGGAGTAAGAGCCCAACATCAGAGATATACAGTAGTTCTATATCTAGATTCTAATGTGGATGTGGTAGACTAGACCTAATCTATAATTTTATATGTCACTTCAGCAAACTGTTTTATTACTATCACAGCGGAAAAACAATTATCCTTCCTTTTAATCATTATTTAGTAAATCTTTGCACAGGGCTTTTCCTGTGCAAAGTGTTGCATCGATTACATATAGCACTAAATTTACCTTCAGTTTGCCAAATTAATGTTATTTATTTGTTTGCTTTCTATAGTCTCCTATCTTACTTTTATATGCTTACAGTAAATATATAAAACACACAATATAAGAAACAAACATTAAAAAAATCACATAGCAGCCAGGCATAATCTAACATAATAGTTCACATAACCAAGAAATGGGCTCTAACCCATACCTTCTGGATCTAGCTAACCAACATTTCCTAGTCCAGGGGTAGGCAACCTTGGCTCTGTATGAATCGTAGAGTTCAACTCCCATGGATGGCTCAGGAGTTCTGAGAATTGAAGTCCGCAAGTCATAAAAGAGCCAAGGTTGCCTACCCCTGCCCTAGTCGATAGTATCCAGAGCATGCCCTTCTTGCCAGATCAGACAGGAGAGGTGGAAACAATTTAGGTTTTATACTTAGAAATAATGTCCAGAAACCTATTCAGATTTCCCCTGTATCTTTCTGAAATTTAGATCACTTCCTGACCACCATGCCAGAGACTTTACACAGCATGCCTTTTGTTTTTTTCCCCCTTTCCTTCTTTCCTTGAATGAATTCATTAACTCCTGATACTGCAATTATTAAAGAAAAATGGGGTCCATAGACTTTTCTATGAGTTCAGCTGTGGGGGGGGGGCTATATCGCCTTCTCAATTTCTGCAGCTGCATGCATCAATTTATGAACATAATTACATATAGCACCACTGGAACGAAACATATACACAGCCAATTCCATAATGGTTAAAATTCCTTGAGGATCAGCAGAAGCAATATGTAACTCGTAATTCTGAAAATTAGAAACTAAATCAGAGTATTTAAAGCTTAAAACACTAATTGCAACTTAACACAATGAATATTTACCATTATGACAAATAGGATGGCACAACAGCATTTAGTTCTTAAATTGTTTTTTTGGGATAAGCTAAAGAGATGCATCCATCAAAGGCAGACATAATATATCTTGCCTAACACCAAGCATTTGGGGACTAATTGTGAATTCAGCTCTACCTTCTATATTTATATTTTACAAGAAATGGAAATCAAACTATCATCTCACTTTGGGACAAAACTATCATCTTCAGGTGCTACAGTCTCATTAACGTAAGCACTGATCTGCTTCTTATTACCTTCTCATACTGCTTCCTACATGGTAGTTCTACTCTTACCTTATTCCAGTGATGGCAAACCTTATAGAGACCGAATGCAACCAAAAACCCTCTTATGTAACCTCAGGTGTCAGGTGGGCGTGGCCCATTGGGTGGGCATGGCTACAGTGGTAACAGCAGACTGGGTGGGACTAAAAAGTTCAATCAATCAATTCCAACTTTGCGAGATCTTTTTTTTTTCCACAAGAAATTGAAATTGATTGATTGAACCTTTTTTTTTTTTTTTTTGCACATGGTGGCAGGGGCCTAAAGTGAAAAGGTTTTATAAAACCCAACTGAATGCCTAGGACTGGGGTGATGGCACGCATGCCCATAGAGAGGGCTTTGTGTGCCACCTGTGGCACACGTGCCATAGGTTCGTCACCACGGCCTTATTCAATCATACCATGCTAGATCTCTAAATACCTCACACTTATGGCTTCTTGGGTGACCAAGCAAAGTTTTGCTTGGAAATTTTTCAAGGAAACTAATTAATCTAGCACCCTGTTTCTAAATATTCCTGAAAGAATGAGACATTCTGGCCTTTATCTAAGAGAAGGTATGTTTACAGAAAAAATAATCTAGAATGGAAATATATTTAGAGCAAGAATTAAACAATTGTACTACCACCACCACCACTTTCTACACCTGCTAGAATTATAATACGTTTTTCTGGGAGCATATTTCTCATTTTTAATTAATTATTTATTTATTACAAAACAAAATGGAGACATTGGTCATATATTTAGTCCATTCTAAAAGTGGGAGGTCCTTTAAATTATATTAGTTGACTAAAAACCTGAATCCTTACATTTTGTCAAATTTACGAGTAATCCTGGATTCCAGTGAGTAAAATTGATTCAATTTTAGTTTTGTAACTTAAACCTGGTTGCTATGACTTCATCTGTGAAAGACTTCTTAGATAAGGAAGATGTGTCAGGTGACCTCACTAAACTCTCTGGATTAGATGAGCTAGACTCAGTGGTGGGATTCAGCTGGTTCACACCAGTTCGGCAGAACCTGTAGCTAATTTTTTGTTGAGTTCTGGCCCAGGCCCAGAACGGACTTCCAGAAGCGGCATCTCATCCAGTGAGTGGTTTCCCTTGGAATCTTGAACCCTGTTTAACCTCCCTGATATCTACATTTCTGCAGCTTTGTGGCTAATTTTCATTCTCTCTTGTCTTTGTTTTCTGGAATCTCAGCATGGATCTGGAATAGTCTGGCTTTGGTTTTTGGACCGGTTTAGCAACTTATTGTGTATTGTTTTGATCCTGAGCAATGTTTTTGATTTAGACTCCAGATGATATAGTTAAGCTTTCCTTTATCTCCATCCCCAGCCCTGACCCAGGATTCGATACTAACATCAGTTTGAATAATAGTATCTATTTTGGTCAAGATACTCTGTAAAAAATCTCTGAACGTTTCTTTATAGAAATTAACTGAACTTACCTTCAGCAGCTGGAAGAACAGCTGTGATTGCTGGGATCTGCTCCAAAAATAGGGGGGGATACGATCCTGAACACAAGAGAGACATGAAAGATATTAATTATAATAATATGCAAATAATACATAATATATAATGAAGTATATTTGGAGACCACTTTTTTAAAAAACAAAAACAAACAGTCCCTCAGGAGATTGGAGTTTCTTCTGAATTGCTTGTCTATATTATTAAGCACTTCCTAGAAATAAAAGAGGGCAAAACAAATGAAACAGTTTGATCTGAAGTTTTAGATTAGTGAGCATGAAATCATAGGAGTTAAAAATGCTGAATTATTTGCTGATCACTTTGTATTCAGGGTTAAAAAAACATCAATCAGTATAATCATCATACATTTATAGTTCTTGATTGTTGGAGGAAGAGGGCCTGAAAGCCCTTTTCCTTCTGCTTGTAACAGAAAGGGCTTTTCTAATTCATGAACATCTACTGGGTTGTGGAGAGGTAAACTCTTTAATAGCTGCTTTACGTTGTGTGACATTACCAAGCGTTTGTAGAAATGTCAGCTTGAAAGCAATTGCAAAGCAACATGAGCAGATGACGTACTTTTGAGTGAAAGAGATCGTCATTTTAGGAAGAAAGGGAAAAGGTAGAATTGCTACTGTTCACATTTTGGGTCTTGTCCACAGGCAAAAAAAAACCTCTGCATTTTCTACAAGTGACCATAGCCCCAGGTGAACCATTCTAGAAGGTGGATAGCATAGGCAATTTCACTGGACTCATAACCAAAGCTAAAGGGAATTGTTTCTCCAGGATCAAGGCAAAATCAGGTTTAATTTGGTTAGAAAAACCTTCATTTACTCTAGTAGAGTAACTCAGACTAAAATGTTTTTCCTCTCCATTACATATGGGACAGGATTAGCAATCAGCTTAGCAATAAATGTCCTCTGCACCTGCTAATTTATTTTTTGAACATGAACCCTATGTTTTCCTCTTTCACTCTAATAATATATATATAATAAAATACTTTGGTATAACTTATTTCTTCTACTAATTTCTGTACATCTAGAAAGCACGTGTGAATGCACAAAAATGATCAGTAATATAAATCAGGATTATGACAGCCAAAGCTTTGAAGTTTTGAGATACTACAGTCAAAATGCATTCATAAAAATGTGTGCCTGTCATATTAAGCCACTTTATTACACACTTTTGAGAAACCTTTACCTTGACAAATTTGCAATATATTTACACTGACAAACAAACAGCAATACAGTTTTCATCTTCTACATTTCAACTTTGAACACCTGCTCAGGCCACATGCTCACTCTCAAGTGGGAATTTAAAATCCCAGTTTTTAAGGGAGATATAAGTTATGAAATATATGATGCAATTTCTGGCTGAACATGGATGAGGTCATTCTGGTACATTTTCATCCTGAAAGGAATTTCAACGTGCTTCAGTTTGACAAGGCTTTGAACCAAGCAGTCTCTTGAAGTTGTTTAGTGAAGCTTGCCTGGTCTGGTCCCTTTCAAAAGCTAAATGATGTGACTATGTGGCTTTGCTTCAGTGACTCCCTTGCTTTTCTCTCACAGAGCCTGTAGTATAAAAGAAGGCTGACAGGAACTTCTTCTGTGAGCACTGTGGGAGAAGGCTGAGCTGTATATTCTTCATATTTTATCTAAGAGGATTCACAGCCTGGGCACCACCAGCATGGGCTGTGCAGAATCCCAGAATCCATGGAAGGATGACTAAATCAAAGAGTCCATAACCATGGGGGGGGGGAGACTCAACCCACAGCTAGTTTGAAGTCTCCTCTTCGATATGCAAGGACTTCAAAGCTTTCCAGTTTCAGTTCAGAAGGGCAACACAAAAAGATTCCCAAACTGAATGATAGTTATAGATTGTAAAAAACCCTGAAGCCCATCTGTAGATAGCCAGCACCAAACTCTCTTCTTCCAGCATGAAATGGATTTCAGAGGTTCAGAGGTTCTGGTCAACCAATCTGTTCCACAGAATTGAGCAATGGTAACATGGGCAGTTTTGAGTATTTGCACAAGGTATCCAACTTCTATTGGACTTAAGCAATGATGCCACAGACAACCCACAGCCTGATATCTGTCTTGCCTACTTTTTCTCTCCCTCCAGTATTTGATGGCCAAACCTTTTGACCAACAGAAATATGGAGAAAGGGCAGATAGGTTAGGTATAAGCCCATTTCCCCAGAAAGGCCTGTATAAGAGTACTACAGCATATCAAAATGTAAGAACTGTACATTTCAAACATTGCAGCTCAGTAAACTTCATACTTTTTTCTCCCCGTGTCCCTTATAACTAGGAGAGGATTGGGTTTAGTCTGAAATTAAAATCTTGAGTATCAGTATCTATCCAACTCTATTATGATAGTTCAGATTTCAGATGTTACATTATAATGGGTAACTTTGCCTCTCTTGGCTCCCACTTGCAGCAAGTTGAATCCATTCAGCTCTGCTCTGGAAATGCTACCCAAATGTCTGGAACAGGTCTGGGTAGAAACAAGTGACTAAAGAATTGTGAGAATTGGGTAAGAAATTGCAGGTGGATTTCAGCATGCTCTTCCTGTCTCCAAAAAGGAAACAAAGACAGGAGCCGGGCATGCATGTGTATTTGCATCTTGTGTTTATGTCTGCAGATGTTTTACCTGTTGTATGTTTGCAAAGTTTTATCAGAAAAAATAATGTGATTCATTTATACATTACATATTGAAAAAGCATAATGCACCCCAAAAATTCAAAAGTGGTCCAGACATTTTTGTAAAAACAGGCTGAATCATTTTTCAGGAATCAGCACATTTTCCTAGGAAGCAATTTAACATTCATTTCTTTTTATAACTCATATTTTCTACCACCTGATCACTACATAATTTTAAATAACATTCTTCTCCTGTCTCTTAAACGTTTTCTAACTTTGTAAATTACACCATATTAGTCAATAGCAAATGAGAGCATTTTCTGTGAAGAGAGTCACCGATCTGGCCAATAATAGTAATCTTTTTGTTGATATTTTTATTTTCAGCATTATCATTCTATAGTCTCCAGAGCTTGCTTAACAAACCACAGGACAAATTTAAAAATACATGTTATTCTTCCTTTTATGTGACCATGTCATTTTTGATTGAAAGCTCTAGACTGCAAGGAATCTCACAACTCACATGGGAGATCCCAGCCCAAAGGATCATTTTGTACCATTTGTACTATTTTGGTACAACACAACACAATAACTTTCCATTTAAACACAATTATATTTGAAAAGCCAAATTAGCATCCCAAGTACAACTTCTTTAGTAATCTCTCCACTATTTTTTTCCCTTTGGGGACAAATAAGAATTTAGGGTCTAAGCAGTTCTCTCTCAAATATCCTACAGGAAGCCTTAGTCAGAACCCACAAGATCAGAGATATTTAAATGTGTTACCGTAACTAGGTTTGGGAGAAAGGGGATTATAAACAACATTACTTCACACCTGATAGATAGGTGGAGATTGGATACAGAACTTAATGAGAATAAAACTTTTGAAGGAACGAAGGGAAATTTAGTCTTGAACAAACAGTTTAAGAAAGTGATGGAAATCTCAAGGAGCCATAACATAATCAGGATAGAAGAATAGCTAGGTGTAAAAATGTATAAGTTGGCAAACCATGACTACAAGAAAACCAATAAAGACAAGAAGGCAAAGAACATTCCCATGGTTAACCTAAACCAATCTTCCAATGGCAGGAAAAGTGAGTTAAGAAGAAAATCAGAGTAAAGATACAGAAAGTTGAGGCCTTGTGGAAGTCAAATAAAAGACCTGGTTACCACTATTTGCAATTATAACATAATTTATTTATTTTATTTTATTTTATTTATATGCCGCCCAATCCCAATAGGACTAATTCACGTTTGCAGATATTTTTCCCAGAGTGATTTGAGAATGAGTGTGTACAATAAATACACATAACATTGCAGAAATAAGGCAGCTTTTGCTACCATGAAAAACAGCAGGAAAAAGAAAAGAGCAGCAACTGTTTATTAATTGGTCTGTTTTATTAGGAAATTGGGCATTCTCAGTGTCATTGGAAATAACTATCTCACTGTAAAAAAAATGTCCTGAACATATTAATTAATTCTCTCTGTGAAGAACATGCATTGTAAAATGAAAAAGGCTAACAACCTCAAGAGTTGTGTAAATTCAAATAATGATCCAGCTGTCTGCCAAAATGTCTGCCAAAATGTCTAAGTCCAGCTTTTTACTCAACTATCTTTCTTATTAGTTTGTAGGGAACCTTGAGGAATAGGGGTAACAAATGACAATATATGCATAGGGAGATCATCACATAAACGCTGTGAATTGCATATTTGTATCAGCTATCAGGATACAGTGGAAGACTTTGTGTAATAAAATCACTGGCATCATTTTGGCATCATCTTGGTTTGCTGTGAACACTGCTGGCTTAAAAGTAGATTTCTCATAAATAATGAGATCCCGTTATTATAGCTATCTTTGGAAGCAGGGGATTCGATACAATTCCAATTGCAACAGAGTACTACACACAGTTTGCAATCTAAATGCTTAATGAAAATATTCTGGCTGATATCTTTCACACTATAGGATACCATGAGGTCAGTTTGTCCTGTGGGGAGACTATAATATGTCTAGTGACCAATAATAAGCACCAGTGCAATTAATCATTTGCATGCTTTTAGAATCTAATAGATTAGCTATTGACCAGAGAAAGATAATTGGACGTTCTCCCACTCTTACTATCAGTATAGTATAGGTATTTTTTGACAGAGGGTTAATGTTAATAGAAGCTTGCATAAACTTGTACATATATAAACAAATATATACAAGATGAATGATCATAATTTAAAAATCTGTCACTCATGTGATTAAAATGTTATCATCAAAGTATTTAGTATATGCTACCTAACTTACTTTTAAAAAAGAAAAGCATGCTCTCCCAAGAAACCTCTTTGAGGCAAATTCTATGGTTGTTAATGGTGTTTTCTGTAATTCCAAAATGACTTGATTTAGAAGAGTAAGGATTCTTGAGATCAT